GCGCCCGGCTGTACTAGCTATTTTGAAATATACAATTAATTATTGTCAACCACAGTTAGTCCTTCGTGGTAGAAAACATTAGAAATCATTCCTTCTATCCGGCTTCCCCCTGTAYCAGTGACCACCCCTTCTCCGTCCCTCCCTCCCCGTCCCCCTTCCCAGGTCCTGGTGGGCACTTCTCTTAGAACTGACTTTTTTAGTTTCTCCATAAGGGACGTGGATGCACTGTACTCTGTCTGTGCCCGGCTTATTCCACTTAGCATGATATCCTCCAGTTCCATCCATGTTGCTACAAATGACAGGACTCTATTATTCTATTTTATTTTATATTTTTATGGCTGAAGCCTTTGGCTCTTCCTGGTACAGGGATYCTGATTTTAAATACAGAAAAATTTCTCTTCGGGTTGATAAATTGTCATTAAGCCCTCGAGGGTCTCCACAGCACCTAACTGAAGGTTACTGCCTGGCACAGAGGGACCTGGGGACCCTGAATGGAGGGGTACGTAGGGTCCTGGTCATCTTTTTGGTCCTGGTCATCTTCTCTGGGAAGCCCCTCTTCCCTGTGTGGTGTTGTCCTTGTGGTCTGGGACCCCAGTTCTCTAGAATTCCAGGCTGGTCTACAAGGGTGATTTTTTTTTTTTTTTTTAAATGATGGCAGGGCTTCTGGTCCCTGAACTGGGTTAGCTTTTTGTCGCCGTGACAAACGCCTGGGGAGAACTTGGAAGAGACAGGATTTATTTTGGTTCAGTTGCAGAGGGTTAGGTCCCTGTCTGCTGGCTTCATTGCTCTGGGGCTGAGACCACGGCAGAGGAAAGCGGTCAGCTCACGGTGGCCAGGAAGGAGGGAGGGGGCAGGCGGGGCCAGGGACAAGCCAAGTCCTCTCAGGATCTGCTTCCAGGGACCTGCGTCCTCCAGCTAGGTCCAGCCTCCTATCGTTTCCACCACCTCCCAATAACCCACTCAAGTTATTGATCCGCCAATGCCATCAGACCCCTGTGACCCCATCATGTCACCTCTGACTGTGTGAGACTCTGGGGAACATTTCAGACAAATCCTAACATGTGGCTTTGAGGTTTCCTCCATTGCAACATCTCAACCATTTAGCACAACTTTGCAACTATATCAAGCCTCTAGGTTAATGGCTGGAAAAATAAAGAGACTGGCCACAGGTTTGAGAGCAAGATTTGGATTTGTCGAATTGATGAGCAGGATTCTTTTTTTTTTTTAAGTTAGAGATTCCTGATAGGAGGCGTGGCTCTCTGAGATGATGTGGCGTGGCATGGCACTGTGGGGACAGCTCAGGTCCTGGGGTGCCTGCATTCCCCAGCGGGAGGCACTGGCTGCCAAGGGCTCACAGTCATGATGTTTCTGGAAATGTGTCCTCAGCTGAATGGGAGGCTGCTCATCTAAGAGGTTACCCCTACTCCCAMGGAGGTCAGCCCAGGGCCAATGACATCCTAAGAGATGGCTTCCGTGGGGTGACCCTAGAGGGCATCCCGAGCTCCGGGTCAGGAGGAAGCGATGCGCAGCTCGAGCTCACAGCCTGGCTCAGCTCCTCCTTCCTGGTCCACCGCCGGCTCCCGCTCCTTCTCCTTTCTGTAGAACCTCCCTTCACGTACCCCATGCACCCRAGTCCCCGGGTCAGACCCTGCTTTAAGAGTGTGACCCCAAATAGCTCAATTCCTGCAAGATGGGGAGGATCCGACTGGGGTGTGCAGAGGGAGGGGTCCTGGGAAGTGGAGGAGGCAGAGGAGGCTGGTTCAGGAGGCCCGGGGTGGGAGAGGCTGCCCGTGACCAGCGGGGCTGGGTAGGACAGGTGAGCTGGGGGGGTGGATGATGTGGCGTCTTCTGGAAGGCAAGAAGCATTCAGATGGAAGGACCCCCGGACCACGATGGCCTTTCTTCTCCCACCACGTTCCTTTCTTTAAAGTCAATAGCTTTTCATGTTCCTCGTCTTGTGGGTCCTGGGGATTGAACCCAGGGACATCCTACCACGGAGCTCTACYCCCTCTTTTGATTTATTCATTTTTTTATTTTTTAAAATATTTATTGGTGCACTTTGGTGATTCATCCCAGAGGGCTTCAGTATCGTCACACCTGCGTGACACGATTCTATCCGTCTCTGCGCCCAGTAGCTTCCCTTTCCTCCCCTTCCCCACCTTTTTTTCTTTTTGAGACAAGGTCTTGCTACATTTCCCAGCCTGGACTTGAACTTGTGCTCCTCCCTGTTCAGCCTCCTGGGTTTCCGGGATCCCAGGCGTGTGTCCCCGTGACTGGCCGTCCTGTGGGTTGTGGCCGCTGCCCGGGGGGCGTGCGTTTGGCACTGCAGAGCCACGCAGCATATCTCAGCACCCGCAGATCCCCTGGGGTCCCTTGGCTCATGCCTCTCTCTGCCCACTGTTTCTTCCCTCCAGTTTCTGGGCCCCACAGGAGCCCAACAACATCTACGAGGAGGACTGTGCCAGCATGAACAACGGCGGCACCTGGAACGATCTCTCTTGTGCCAAAACTACATATTGGATTTGTGAGCGGAAATGTTCCTGTTGAACCCAGGGCTGAAGCTAGAGGTGGTGGCCCAGCGCCTCCCTGCTGGGGGTGAGAATTCCCTGCCGGTCCACAGAAGGCTCTGTGTCTCCGGGGGTATGCTGAAGACATGATTGACAGCTGGACGTGGCCAGCTCCCTGGGGTGCAGGCCAGCCCTTCCGGTTCAAGCAGAGGGGTGAGCTGGAGGGACGCTGGGGACTTGGTGGTAGGTGCCCTCCCATTTCTGAGAGGTGGAGGACGTTCATCCATTTCCTGATCTTGAGAAGCGATGCYGAGTCTGACATTGAACCTGGGAGGCTCAGAGCATAACGTTGAGCCCAGGATAAAACACCCCGGCTCTCCTGAACCAGGATGAGCTGGCTCTGGGCTCCTTGACCGCCTGGCTGATGCAGACCCGCTTCTGGGAAGCCGGGGGGCACGGTGARCCTTGACCGTTCACTTTCTCAACGTCTTGGGTGTCACTTTGCACAAGCTACGTGACAGAATCAGATCTCTGGYAAGACCTGGCCCATAGAACTTCTAGAAAGACAAGACCACCTCCACGTAGTACAGCTGGGCCACTCCGTGACCTGGTCAGACCCACAGCACAGTGATGGCACTGTCTGTCTACCTCTGCCCGGGGCTGTTTGTGGGTTGCAAAGGTCTTTGGTGGTGTAGGGGTTCACTCACATCTGGGTGGACTTCCCTGGGCTATTCACTCTGGCAAAGTTAGTGCTTCTCAAAACGTGACCTCACTGTGTAGTCCTGGGCCGTGGTGTTGGGTTCACAGGGCTGCAGTAACCAAATACCAGAGGCTGGGCAGCTKMAAAAACAGAAATTTATTTTCTTACAGTTCTGGAGGCTGTAAGTCCAAGATCAAGGCTGTCAGTTAAGTTGGTTTCTCTCCTTGTCTTGAGGATAATCGTCTTCTCCCTGTGTCCTTGATGGGTCTCCCTTCCATGGGTGTCTATGTCCCAATCTCCTCTTCTTAGAAGGACACCAGTCATGTTGCCTTAAGGTCCCCTTAAGGACCTCGTTTTACCTTGATTACCTTTTTAGTCACCTGTTTAACCTCCAAATATGATCCCATTCTGAGGAACTAGGATTTAGGATTTCAACATATGTCTCTTTTGGGAAAGCAAATCACCCATCAAGTACCAGAAGTACCTTTGGTCATTCTGACATCCCAAACACACCACTCTGAGGTCTGGTGCTGTCCCCGTCTGAGCACAAGGAACCCAACACGGTGGTCCTTTGGGACAACCCATGAATTGTAATGGAATGGATCAAATTCTTGGTCGCCGAGTGCCCTTACTAGTAGCAAAGTCCTTCCTGTTTGGGTTGAGAGCAGAGAGGTGGCTTTGAGGAGAGCAGGGAAGTGGGGGGAGGTGGGGTCTGCTTCACTTCCTGTCCCTCTGTTCCGGTCTCTACCTGTCACCCTCCCACCGGCTCCCTGCACAGTCCACAGCCTGCAGAGTGGGCGGGTGTCCTGTTCTCAGCCCTTCTCCCAGGGGACCCTGGGTCCCAGTGACTGTTTATCTGGGGGTCAGGGGAAGTTCCCGTATCTCAGAAGAGGAAACTTGAGCTTCCTCCAAAATATTGTGTTAAGAAAAGAAGAAGCCGGGGGCTGTGGTCACATCTCTTGAGTGGCTCGGGGGTGTGGGGGCCCCCKGGGGTGCTGGCCCTTCCACAACTCTCATGACTCTCTAGTTGAAGACAAATGGAAGAGAGGTTTCCTTTTACCATTTTGGGTCCAGAGGAGCAAAGATTGGGYGAATTAAAAATCATAATAGCATAGTTTATCAAGCATGTATTAGTCATTYGTTTTAAGCCTCACCGTGACTGTGAGGTCAGGATAATTAGCGACCCTAATTGATAGTGGGGAAAACTGAGCCCAGAGGGGTCTTGTGGCTCACCCACGGCCCTTCGGTGGGTAAATGGCACAGTCGGGATTTTACCCCAGGGCAGCGTCTGCTGCTTTCAAAGGGATTGTCTGTGAACTTGAATTATCCTCCAGGACCGTGACCTTGGAGCTCTGATCTCAGCTGGTTATTTTGGGAAATTGAACAGCGTGATGTGKTTGGAAACCGACACCCTGGGACGGGAGAGGAGACTAGGGGTTGAATTCTGGGTGAGGTGATGGCTGTCTTTGTGGCTTTTCTGGGGTTGTTACATTGACGATGAGGACCGGGGAGCCACCTGTGACGGTCTGGAGACTTCTGGATGGATTTTGAAGAGAGAGCCTTTAGGATGTGCTGATGGATYAGATGTCGGGGGTGGAGGGTGAGAGAAAGAGGAAAGAATGACTCCTAGATTTTCAGTCTGAGCAACAGGAATTATCAATGACGGGGACGAAAAAATGCTTAGGAACTCCACCTACATTGAGGTAGTCCATGAGCTTCTGCTGAAGTTCTTAGAACTTCTCTTATCTGGTAAGTGGTGGGTCAGGAATGGAATCGTGTGTGTGTGTGTGTGTGTGTGTGTGTGTGTGTGAGTGTGTGTGTGTGTGTGTGTATGTGTGTGTGTGTGAATGGAAACCAGGGTCTCTCACATGCTAGGCAGGTGCTCTACCCCTGAGCTACATCCTCAGCCCAGGAATGGAATCTTTTTTTTTTTTTTTTTTGGTGATGGGGGGTACCAGGGACTGAACTCAGGGACACTCCACCACTGAGCCACACCCCCAGCCCTATTTTGTATTTTACTTAGAGACAGGGTCTCAGTGAGTTGCTTAGCGCCTCATCATTGCTGAGGCTGGCTTTGAACTCGCCATCCTCCTGCCTCAGCCTCCTGAGCCGCTGGGATGACAGGCCTGCGCTGCTGCTCCCAGCTCAGGAATGGAGTCGCGTGCTTACGGAATGAGGTCGTGCCCTGTGGATCTCCTCGATCCTCACTTTTTCAGTGACTTCTAGTAGCCAGCATCTGCCATGAGAGTCCCCTGACTGGCCACGTGGCCAGGAGGAAGTTTCAGGGTGGAAAAATGCTCCCAGMAACAGCTTTCAACCAAAGCCTAGACTTGGTGTATACCTACCCAGGCTCCCTCACCTCCCAGGAGAATCACCTCCAAAGAGTGAGCTCTAGATAGGTCCTGGAGGTCCCTGGAGGGAGTAAGCTCCAGTTGACGGCAGCTGTAGTTTGCTCAAAACCACGCCTTGTACCCTGGGTCCTACCAGGTTCCTTGGTTTCCCTGCCCACTTCCTCCCGCCAGCACCTCCAAATCAACTACCACTCGATGGGCGGCGGCTCCACTGACCAGTGTGTCAACCTCTCCTCGGTGTGAAAGTGACGCACGTGGGTAGAAGCTGGATTTCRAATTTAGTTGACCAGAACTTGTGGGCCCTGGACTGAACTCTCCTTATAGTCTTTTTACCTTTTCTTAAGATTTTATTGGAGGTACAAAATAATTTAGGGTCYCAGATCTCATATATATTTGGAAACTATTAACTTATTTATTTTAAATTGATGTAAATTGTATATTTTAAATAAAGAAAGTAAAAGTGTATGTATTTATCATGTACAATAGATGTTTTGAAATATGTATATGTTGTGGGATGGCTGCATGGATCTAAATACAGGTGCATTACCTCAGATGTTTATTATTATTATTTTTGTGGTGAGAAGAAGTAAAATCTATTATTCCAGCAACTTTTAAGTCCACATACAGCTGGGTGCAGTGGCACACACCTGTACTCCCAGTGACCCAGGAGGCTGAGGCAGGAGGATCAAGAGTTCAAGCTGGCTGGCCATTTCCCAGAATCTCTCATTTCTCTTTGTTTAACACACAGCCCAAACTTTCCTGTAGCCTGTTTTTTTTTTTTTTCCCTCAATGAGCTAGGAGTAGTTTGTCAGTTTCTGAAGGGCTACGTRCACCCGTCTCTTCACACGCAGCCCTCCATATTCACCAGTTCTGCATCCTTGGATCCGACCAACTGCTGATCAACACCATTCAGAAAAAAAGTGACAGCCACACAAACACGAAGACTTTTAAATCTTATCATTATTCCCTTAACAACCCAACATAAGGACTCCTTCACAGAATTTGTTTTGTATTGGGTGTTATAAATAATCTAGAGATGGTTTAAAGTCATGGGTTCTATGCAAACACAATGCCATTTGTCACAAGGAATTTGGGCCTCTGCAGATTTTGGCGTCYGTGGGGTGTACTGGGGTCACCCCCTGCAGTTACCGAGGATAACTGAACACCATAAGCTATGTGTGCACCTACGTGTGAACCTGTGTCCTGAAAAGCYTAGAATATTGATCTTGCCCTTTACAAAGAAAGCCGACTGACCTCTCTTCAGCATATCTCAACACCACCAGGACCCCGGGTGGGGAAGAAGTGAGACTCAGGCGAAAGGGGGCTGCAATCATTGGAGGAAGGTCTCCAAAGAGGCAGGAGGGGGCAGGGGAGACCACAGCGTGGAGGAGGGGCCAGTCTGGAGCGGGAAGGGCCTCCTTTGCTGAGTGTGAGTGTTGATGCAGGAGAGGCGGATGGGGTGTGTGGTAAGGGGTGTCTGGGATCAGGAAGTTGAGGGACTTCCATCACTACCTTTATCACCTCTGYAGGATAAAAAAGGAGGTGAAGCCAGGAAGAAGCTGCTTGTTTATGAGACGCTTTGGGAGAAGTTGATAGTTTAAAGGGMTTCATAAGTTTAAAGAGCAAGTTTAGGATGAGTGAACCAGAGGAAAGGCCTTGAGAGGGGTCTCCCCATTTGCAAAACGTCAAGGAAGTGATTGCAACCACCCTGATTTGGGTACCCAGGGCCAGGCATTGACTGAACACACCGCAACACAKAGAAATACAATCAACACACGTTTATTGAAAGCTTAGTATCAAGCAGAGCACACGCTTCAGGAAGTAAAGGTTAAACATTCCCACAGTGATATACAGAATGAGTTCCCGGGGCCTCAACTTCATTCCTTTTTACAAAGGTCACATTTCATTCCTCATGATGCCAACGAGATCCATGGGCAGGATCTTCCATATGGAGCTGAATGYTCTAGTTTTAGTATCATCTCTTCACTTGTTCTGGAAAAAAAAAAAAAAAGGTCCCCCACAGAAGATTTTTAGATTAATGGTGGATTAAGGGTTAGCAAATCAAACATGGAGAAAGAGCAGGAGTGAGTGCAAGCCAGCTCCAGCCACCAGGCAGGGATGGAACAATCTAGAATCCTAGGGCAGATGTGTTCTCTAATCTGGGTGGGTGGACGTCTCAAAATGTTTGTCCTTCAGAATGTGTATGTTGGAAACTTAATTCCCAAAGACATATGCTAATGGTATTTGGAAGTGGAACATTTGAGAGGTAAAGTGAATGGATCATGAGGACTCTGTTCTCATCAATGGATTAATCTATTTGTGGGTTAATGGATTATTGGATTGTGGGTTATTGAGGGAGTGGCTTTGCTACAAGGTGAGAACTCTTTGGTACACTTRTTCTGTCTCTCCATGTGATGCTCTGCACCTCTGTGGGATTCTGTAGAGATTCCCCACCAACAAGAAGACTCTCACCAGAGGTAGCCCCTTGCTTTTGGACTTCCCAGCTTCTGCAACTATAAGAAATAACCTTATTTTCTTTATAAATTATCCAATCTCAGTAATTCTGTTATAGCAACAGAAAACAGACTAAGACAGTATCCCACTCCAGAATTTCAATTCCCTGGAGGCTGGTTTTTGTCTATGGAGAAAAGCTGTACTCTAAGCTCCATGAAGGTAGGGACTGTATTGTTTTGCTCTCTTTTGTATTACCTTTCTATCAAGACCATTTCATCCCTCTAGGAAGGTCCCATTATTCCATGCAACCTCTATAGGTAGGTAGAACATCTGGGTGGTAGCAGTCCCCTCTCCTGGGGCCCTTTCAATGGTCCACCAGTTCCCCTGGGCTCACATCCATCTCTCTGTGGGTCAGTATGTGTTTTGAGGGATGCTGATCACTCTTCTATGTCTGTGCAAGTCAATTTCCCCCTGTGGCATATACTTGAATGGTAGCATTGCTGGTGACATATTTAACCCATGTTTCTTTGCACAGATTCCAAAAGTCAGCTGAAGTGCTCTTAGTGAAYGGAGAAGAGTCACTGAAGAACGATTCAGTGGGAATGAGGAACTCAAGCTAGGGTATCAGGAAAGATCGTGTTGTGGTCTGGACCTTCAGTGTCCTCCAAAGGCTTGGTCCCCAGTCTGGGGCGCTATTGGGAGGTGATGGAATCCTTAGGAGGTGGGGCCTAATGGGAGGCAGTTAGGTCATTGAGGGCATGCCCTCAAAGGGCTATTGGGACCTCAGCTCCTTTCTCTCTTTCTTTCTTTCTCAGCTGCCACAAGGTGAGCTTCATTGCTCCACCATGTACTCCCCACMCTGATGTTTTGCCTTGCCACAGGTCCAGTGTGATGCGGCCAAGTGACTATGGATTAAGACCTCTGAAGCCAGCAAATAAAACTCTCCTCCTTGTAAGCTGTTTATCTCAAGTATTTTGTCACAGTCACAGAAAGCTGAGTAGCACAGTGCTCTTCCTCATACTCTTCTTCAAAGGGAACTTATGCTAAGACAAGGAGAGGAAGTTTGGGGTGTCCGGGGTGGCAAAACATTAGAGAAAGTCATGGGTTCTCTTACCTCACTCGCTGAGTTTTAAGTCGGGGCCAAGCCTGCTGGAGAGCGTCTGTATCTCAGACTTAGACTTTGATTTTGTGACATCACTAAACCACTTTCGGTATTGTTTCCGGACCTGACATATCAAAGGAAATACCAGGATGGTTTTTGTTAAGATGCAAAACAGGAGAAAAGCTGGTGAATCAGTAAGAAGAWAGAGATTTATTTCACAATATGTGGCATAACCATGTGATGGAATGTTATTCAGCCTTTAGAAGAAAGATATTTGGCCTGGTGCGGTGGGGCACGCCTGTCATCCCAGCRGCTCCGGAGGCTGAGGCAGGAGGATCACGAGTTCAAAGCCAGCCTCAGCAACAGCGAGGCGCTAAGCAACTCAGTGAGACCCTGTCTCTAAATAAAAGACAAAATAGGGCTGGGGGTGTGGCTTAGGGGTTGAGTGTCCCTGAGTTCAATCCCTGCTACCCAAAAAAAAAAAAAAAAAAAGGATATTTGGATGCACCACTCATGGCTCTACCTTGAAGACCTCATGCCAAGTGAATAATGCCAGACACAGAGGAACACAGACTGTACGATGCCACTTACATAAGGTACCTTGAATAGTCAGATTACTCAAGATGTAAAGTAGACTGGTGGTTGCCAGGACCTTGGCAGGAGGGGATTGGGAGTTACTATCTGATAGGTACAGAGTTCCCGTTTGTCCCGATAAAGAGTTCTAGAGATAGTGGCAATGGTTACATGACATTATGAATATAATGACCATAAGCTGTGCACTTAAAAATCATTCAGATGGAAAAACTACACATGGTGTTGCACATACCTGTAGTCCCAGCTACTCAGGAGGCTGGGGCAGGAGGATCACCTGAGCTCAGGAATTTGAGGCCAGTTTGGGAAACATGGTGAGACCCTATCTCAAAACATTTATTTAAGTGGTAATTTTATGTGGTGCATATTTTACTACAATAAATAAAATTTCATATTTCAGAAACCATCTTTCTTATTTGGGTTACTCCARGAATTTAGAACTCGGAACAAAAGTTTAAGTGTAAGGAGTTTATTTGAGGGGTGGTCCCTAGGATGCATCATCCAGGAAGTTTCCACTGGGGCTCAGCTCCCTTGGGCAGCCCCAGGAGACACGTGACCTAATCCAGAGTCAGGGCACCTGAGGGGAGGGAGCTGGGGTGTGTATCCACCAGCTCTGTTCAGTCACTGGCCTAGGGCTGCTCTCAAGTGCCGTGGCTCTCTGGCACTGCCACCTTGTCCCAGGCTTGGGCCACTCACACCTCCTGGGCAGTAAGAAGCCCACAGGCTCCAAGTCATAAATGTTGTAACAGGAAACCTCAGGCACTGGTGAGAGGAACAAAGGGCTGTGGGAGGGCCACTGACAGCATCTGCCACACAAGGCTTCCCAACCAAGGCGGCACCGTAGAGATCTTGAGTTGGATTGTGCTTTCTGGTGRGGACAGTCCTGTGCACTGGAGGGTGTGGACAGCATCCTGGCCTCCACCCACCAGATGCCCCTRGCAACCCACTCCTAGTTGTGACAGTGGGACATGTCTCCAGACATTGCTGACTGTCCCTTTTAATATGCCCTAAATACACAAGTGAGTGCACAAAAATGACATAAATGGTGAGTGTTTCTATGGTTAGATGAACAAAATGGGGCCCTCTGAAGTAATGCTCTGAAATTTGCTTTCTTCACTAAAGTATTTTCAGGGTCCTACAAGCCACAGAATATTCTTGTGCCTGGACAATTAGTAACGTGTGGATGCTCTAACCCAGGAAATGTCTGCTCTCTGGACAGCTCAGTTGCTTTATCCCTGAGGAGCTATTTTTCCATTCCAGTTTGAYTGTGTGTTCAGCGTGAGGAGGGGAGCACGGAGGAAGAGAGGGAGGACCTTCCTTGTTTTTTGTACAAAAGTTTTAAAATCTGGTGTTTGTTTTGCACACACAGCTCATCTTTATTTGGATTAGCATCAAAGGTTAAACGACAGCAATTGGGTTTAAAGATACCAATTGGCTCTATTTCCAATTCTGAAATCAGATGACACTTAGTTCCATAAAATAGAATGAGTGTTCCGTGTAGAATTCTGTCAGTGTGCTAACATGGAGACTATACCGTGTATTTTTTTCCCCAGCTTTCCCACTTGTAATAGTCAGCTAATGCTAAATAACAAACAATTTCAAGAAACCTCAGTGGCTTAAACAAATATTTACTTTTCTCACTCTCAGGTCTTCAGGTCTTTGGGGTTTGGCTGATCCTTCCTGAGATCAGCGTGGCTTGGTTAAATTGGCTGAAGAATTGGTGTCAAGTGGTGTGGCAGGTTGCTTTATTCACTCCTAGTTAGAAACAGTACACTCTGTCTCAGCCTCGGGGTGGGTGAAGCGTTCTTTCCCCGTTAGCTTTGGGCCTGGCCACCTGACGCACTTTGTCCAGTGGCACATCAGCGGAGGTGATGTAAGCAAAGTCACAGGCTTAAAATGGCCCTGCAGGGTACCCCTGGCCTCTTTGTAATTTTGCCATTGTTATGAGAAAAACATGCCAAGAACTGCTCCCAGTTCTGCCAAAGCCTCAGGATGAGTCCAAGGAGCAGATAAGAATCTGATTTGCATCCAGGAACCAAGCCAAGCCCAGCCCAGCCCCTGCTGAACCCCACCCCACCTGCAGACCTGAGGAGCAGAAAGAAGTTCTGTGTTCATGCCAGTGAGATTTTTGACGTAGCCTGTTATGAGCGTGAGCTGACTCTTGTGGTGGGAAAGTGGGAGGAACCTCCTTCCCTCATATAGCAACCGTCTACTTTCTGAAAGCTACTAACAAATCAGGGGATCAATAACCTCTTGCTTTTGTTATTAGCTTTTCTGAGATAGAACTTGCCTATTACACAACCCATCTAAAGTGTTCAACCCCATGGCTTTAGGATGTTCCTAGGGTTCTGTAGCCATCACCTTAAACATGTGTAGAGCTTTATCCAAGAACCACTGTTCCTCCTCCACCCCTCCTATCCTCTCCCCCAGTCTCTTCAGCCCACTCAATAACTCATCTACTTTCTATGTCCGCCTTCAAGAGCACTTTAAAGTAGATAGATGACAGGGTGTGCTCACATATTGATGACGGACTCGTGAAAATTTAAAGACCTGGAACGTAAATGCCTCCAAAGTTTAAAACACAGTTTTAAAACAACGGAGAAAGGGCTCAGCGTTTACCTGTTGGCTGAGCAGACAGTAGACCAGGAAGATGAAAAAGCCCTGCAGGCTGTTGATGATGGTGAAGAGATACGCCAGGACCTGGCCAGCGGGACCCACCTGCAGGACGCCCAGACACCACGTGCAGCCCAGGATGAGGACCTGAGCTGTGGCTTTGAGGGTCAGCATCCTGAGAGGGGTCAGAGATGGTCACGTCAGAAAGCTTGTAATGGAGCTGGGCGCGGTGGCACACGCCTGTCATCCCAGCGGCTCAGGAGCCTGAGGCAGGAGGGTCACGAGTTCAAAGCCAGCCTCAGCAAAAGCGAGGCACTAAGCAACTCAGTGAGACTCTGTCTCTAAATAAAATATAAAAATAGGGCTGGGGAGGTGGATCAGTGGTAGAGTGCCCCTGAGTTCAATCCCTGGCACCTCCACCCTGCAAAAAAAAAGCTTGTAATGGACACAGACAGCCCTGTAGTGTAGTTGTTAGTAGTGAGGACTCAAGAGAGACCAGGACTTAAATTCAGTCCAGCACTGCTAGTTGTGGGAGGTCAGGCAAGTTACCTTATCTTCTTGTAACTCAGTTCCCKTATCTTCATAATAGAGATGCTCCTGACTCACCCTGGGATTGCCTCCCATACACTCAAGGAAAGTTGAAAATTTCACTAAGTCAAAACCTATGGAACTCCTGAGGCATCTTGTGTTCTGTGGCAGAAACTGCCAGTTTTTTCTTTCTTTTCTGTTTTTTTTTTTCTTTTTCCTTTCAGTGTTAGATGACTTCTCCCTTTAAGCTCCCCCTGCCCCTGCACATGGCTGACAATTAGACTACATTTCCCAGGCTTCTTTGCAGTTGGGTMTCATCATGTGACCAAGGTCAGCCAATGGGATGACTTCTATGTCACCTCTTTCCCACGGRTGGGATACTGACAAGGACAACATCCCAGAGGATGGCAGAACAGCAAAAACAGAAAGCGTGTAAGTCCCTGGTCACTCTGTGGAGGACAGCTTGTCCACCAGCCCTGGACGGCTGAGAGGGACCAACGTCTCCTCCACTCCTTTGGGAAGGGAAGTGGGAAGCCCCTTCTCAGGGGTCCAGCCTGTACTCCAGCTAATACAAGTCCTCGTTTATTGTGGCAGCGGACGGTTACAGTGTCCCCGCTAGCCCCCCGAGCATGGCTGCAGAGTGCCTCTGTGGGTGGATGGGCAGGAGGGACGGGCGGGGCCTGGCTGGGGGAAAGAGTGGCAGGAGCCCCCCCCCCCCATCCTACCTCGTGTTCTGGATGGTTGACACCTCACTGTTGAGGGAGGAAAGTTTCTTTCTCAGAAGCCAAAGGACCGAAAGAAAAAACACTAAATTCACCTGCAGGAGTGACACAGACCGGGCACAGAGTACCAGTTAAAATAAYGTATGTTTTGTCCACACTAAAGACGCACAGTTCTACCGCCAGGCACGTAGGATTGAATACATGGGCAGCAGGAGGAAAGTCAAACCACAGAACTGAGGCAATGCCCGGCCCCGTCCTGTCTTGCACCCAGCACTTGTGGTGGCCCCTCTTCAGTCAGGAACACGGGGGCCCATACTCACGAGGATGATGGCGCAGACGGGGCCGAGGAACCCCCAGATGAATCCTTGGTCCAGGCGGAGCCAGCAGCTGAGACAACGGGAAGAGGGACCGAAAGAGAGATCAGAGCAAGCGCATGTCAGAAGGACCTGAGGTGACACCTTCCCTATCAGAGGGCTTTCCCGGCTCTCCCTGAAAGCTACCTGATGACGATGGCTTTGATTGCTCACTACTGTGTATTGGTGTCCCAGTGAGCATTTTAGAAGCACCGTCCTGTGGAAGTTTCACAGGACTGTGAGGGTGGGACAATGGTTACCTTCSTTGCATGGAAGGGCTAAATCCTGAGGACACAAGGTCCCAGATTAGGAGACGGATAAAGTTGACAGTGAACCACAAAACTCCCTCCTTCCAGAACCTTCTGTACTCTTGCCACCATCTCCAACTGTCTCTCTGGAAGGTAGGTGGAAGCTATTATTAAGAACGTGGAACACAGTTGGATTCCCGCATTCTGATCCTGGCCCTTTGACGCTGTCCCTGAAAGGCGATCCCGGGACACTGTCTGGGACCCAGGGTGAGGGTGCCGCTCACCGWGCAGGTGTCCCATAAAGGTGAGGCCTGGCGGCTGCTGAGATGGCCACAATCACTGCAGGAGCCCCGTAGCCGACCGGGAACCTGAGCCACTTCATGAGCTTGTTCACGCTGGAGTAGTTGACCACGGTCAGGTTCCGCGCCGTGAGGAAGAGGAACAGCCCCTCCAGCAGCATCCAGGTGAAGGCGGCCAGGTAGAGGTAGTGCAGGGCGCCCGCGATGACCGCGCACAGCACCTGGGGAGGAGAGGCCCAGGAGGGGTGCCAGCTGGAGTGCGGCCCGGGCCTCTCCCAGGCTGGCTTTGGATTCAGAACACCTGATGTCAGACCAAGGGCATTAAAGTAAGAGCGATGATGGCCAAGGCCAGCACTGGGCACCTGGGCAATAGCCCCTGCAGCCCGACCCAGGACCAGAATATGATGCCCCAAAATAAGGTACTTGGCAGTAAATTCTATAACTTATTCCCCCGTCTAGCTGATACCCCTTGGCCAACGCCTCTGAAACCACCACTCTCTGCTCAGAAGTTACAAACTGATCATTCTTTTCTTTCTTGTGTGTGTGATAAGGACATTAAAAATCCACTCTTTGCAATTTTCAAGACTATAATACATGTTTTTTACTATAGTCACCATGCTGTAAGACAGGTCTCCTTAACTTATTCCTCTGATCTAACCAAAAATTTGTAACATTTGACCGAAGTCACTATAGTTAATAATAATGTATTGTCTCTCTTCTCCCTCCCTCCCTTCCTGTCACCGGAGGTTGAGCCCAGGGCTTTGCACACGCCAAGTACCCTACTGCTGAGCTACACCCCAGAACCCTGCAGATTCCAACTTGCTAAAAGAG